AGTTTTAGATTAACTTCGCGGTGACTGCAAATTAACACAATGTATTAGCACTAAATTTTGCAAAATACTGGTTGCGCGCACGACTACCTGACAACACGCGAACAATATGATATTTTTTCAACCTTGTCTTTTTACAATTTTTTTGTTGTTTCTAAGGTTTTAAATATTTGGAGACATTTTGCTAAGTAAATAAACGTATAATATTGTATTCGGTTTTTTTTTTACTTCTGTCGCCGAAAATACCTCATTTTGCCACACCCCGCCTTAAGTAGCCAAAAGTTTTGATGCTGTGACGACAAAATTGGCCAGCTGAGATGGATTCAACTCTGTTGAAATTTAAATCGTACCTGCTTCGCATACGCAAAGAAGCGCGCATTCTATTGTTAAAAATCCGACCCTGAGGGTCATTTTTTTAATATCTGGTTAAGTTTCAGTCAGTGTAGCTAAGATATAGTTTCTATAGAGATTATTGTCAAAACAATGGTATCCATGAAAGTAATATGTCAAATAAACTAACTGAAACTTAAACTTAAACCGCCCCGATCTACGTTGTTTGCTGATCCTGATATTATATAATCATGTCAAAATACGTATGTCACAATGGAAATCGGGAAAAAGTTTGTGCATCTTGTGGCCAAAAGATAGTGTTTGGAAAAAAACCTGCAAACAATTTCAGAATAACCAGAGAATGTGCTGAACTTATAAGGAAACCTTTAAAATCTAATTTTAATTTAGAGAATATAAAGTTCCCAGTTAATATATGTGTAAGTTGCAGACTCGCATTAGTTGAACGAGAAAAAGGTATACTTAGAAAAACACTACCAATTATACCTAATTACGTTGAAATAATATTAATAAAGGAAACCAGAGCACATGTCCAAGAAAAGAACTATTGTCATTGCTATATTTGCGAAAAAGCCACCCCTGATCATTCAAAATGTCAATGTCAATAATTCCAGAAAATTATCAATTAGAACCTGTTGAATCGAAAGATAACTTCTGTAATGATAACTGTGATCAAATTGCTGCTAAAAAAAGAAAAACATATTTAGAAGGAGACACTGTTGGCAGTAAAGCTAAGCTAACTAGTGTTCAAAGGCTCATAATGCTCTGTCTTGTACCTGATATAAAAGAGTCATACATTAATATTACATTACTTTTTCAGTTAACTAATCTAAATTATATATCGTTTAAATTTGTATCAGATTTTAAAATATTACTGATAGTAAATGGATAACAGACCGCAACAGCAACTTTTTCCTGTCCATTTTGTTTTATAAATTTAAATGACTTAAGAAGCTCAACGTCTCAAGATAAGAACAAAAAGGATCAAGCTCATACATGCGTGCAGAAGGAACAGATTCATTAAATTTTCAAAATATGAGAACCTTTGGCGATATAAGAAAAGACCATGAATTATTTTGTTTGAATGGAAAGAAAAAGGACAAACATAAACTCTACCACAGCACAATAAATCCACCTCTTTTCGATGAACAGAACGATACTTATGTCATTAAAAAGTGAATTGTTCCCGAATCTTCAAGGATTTGTAAATCATATATTCTGGAACGGTATCGTAAAAGCTGTGGGCCGGGAACAAGCTCTTTTATGGCCACAAAAACTGTCGTGAGCAAAAATTACCAAGGTGAACTGTTCGAAGGAAACGCGTGCAGAAAATTATTGAAAGAGCATGAAAAATTGTAGGACAGAGACATATATGGAGATTACGGGCCACTAAAGCTTGTTCCATTTATAAACGTACTAAAAACAATGAATAAAATTGTTGAAAGTTGTTTTTCCAACCGAAGAGTTAATGAGAATTTAAATTTATTGATTAAGGAATTAAAGGAAGCATACGAAGTAACTGAAGTATCGAAGACATTAAAAGTTCATGTCATATTGGAGCACATGGAGCAATACTTACACTTTTTAGGCCAATATGGCCTAGGAATCTGGTCCGAGCAGGCAGGTGAATCGATTCATTATGAATTTAAAAATTTTGGGATAAATATAAAATTAATTTATTATCTCATAGTTTATACTCCTCCAGACTAAAATTAGCTATTGTTGAATTTTCTTCTCAACATATATTTAGTTCACATTTTGATGTAAAAATCTATGAATAAAATGTTTTTTAAAGTTCGAGATTATTAGTTTTGTTATTATGTTTCTTTTCATAATTTAATGATAATATTATTATGTATGTATAGGGGAACCCGGGGCAGAACGGGGGTACTAAGTTGAAAATACCTTTTAAAAGTTCTAAAGGGTTAATTTGGAAAGCTGAAAGATTTTCCATGATAACATTATAATGTAATGATCATAAAAATACAATAAAACTGTAAAAAAAACAGAGTAGAAACTTTTTTTTTACAAAAAAAGAAAGGTATGTCATTTGCCCCATTCTGCCCCGGGCATGGGGCAGAATGGGGTGGTAAGGATAATTAATTTTAAAATCATTAAAAAATAGTTTAAATGCAGACAAACTAAATTTGTTATAATGTATATTATATTTAATTAGTTTTAAGTGACTACAAAGGTTTGACTTAAATATTCATTGATTTTGTCCTTTTCTCAATCCGATTCACAAAATTCACACACAAGAACAGCCTCATCATCCCCGCTATCAATTCCCGCACAGAAATTGTGTGCCCATTTATTGCACACAGAACAGGCGGCCCAACCATCAATTGACTTTGAATAAAATTCACCACAATACAAACATTCACAGTCAGATAAATCCTCAGAATCGCTTTTGTTAAGTTTGCATTCTCTCTTCAGGTCCTTCTTTTTTCCATTCGTCTTCAGGCACTTTCCTTTATTTTTTTCAGTCTTATTTTTCTTATTTTTACTCTTTTCCAGTTTTGCCCTTGCTCTTTCTTCCTTAGCTAAGTTCTTTTTCGCTTTTTCATTAATAGCGGTTTCCAACTCTTTTTTGTATGGTGAGTCTGTTAAAACTGCAGTCTTTCCCCTCTTTCGATTAGCCCTTTTCACGGTTTCTTTTACTTTTGGAATAGGCATTAGAATTTTTGGTGAAACATGAAATGAAGAGGCCCTGTTATCAGTTGACATCCAAGAGCAGCCAGGAGTGGCACTATCTTCATCAAATCGAACTTTCTTTGCCGGTGTGTGATCCTTAGAGTTGGCTAAATCCTCGCCAGCTTCATCATCCAACCTGAGAGGCATGTGTTTTTCGACTGTTGTGCTAGATGAAGGCAATTCCAGTTGTTCAGCTTCAGGCACGACCTCTTCACTTGCAGGTCTGCCAAGTCCAATATCAGTTGTGTCTGCTGGGAGAAAATCAACGTCGGTAAATATGGATGGGTCAGTTGGCCATATTCCTGTAGCTTGGAATCCATTAATAGCAGTTTTCATTGTTGCGCTTTGGATGAAAGCTGATCCAAAAAGATTTGAAATTTGAAATAGAGTTACGACTTTCCCTGGGTTGCCTCTTAGCCATTTTCTAAGCTCATCTCTGTAATAAAGACTTAAAGGCTTCATAAAAGAAACATCAAGTGGCTGAAGTCGGTGAGAGCAATGTGGCGGTAGACACAGTAACGAAACGCCACTGGCCCTCGCGTAGTCTATAACTTCAAGGTTTTTGGTATGTGTTGAGTGGCCATCTAATATAAGAAGAACCGGGAAGTCCTTTGATGCCTTAGAAAATTTCACAAATTTTTTAAACCATACAAAAAATGATTCAGTAGTCATCCATCCAGTGCTGTGCACCTCAGCCCAACCTCCTGGTGGCAATCCAAACTCAAATTCTTTCTGTTTTTTCTTTCGAGGAAATATAAGCATAGGGGGCATGTAAGCTCCGCTTGCTGACATACAAATAAGGCAGGTTACGGTTTCACCCCTTTCTGCGGATGTTAACGACCCTACTTGACGTTTCCCTTTGCAAGCTATGATCTTTGATTGGTTCTTAGGGTTCACTGAAACGCCCGTTTCGTCGCAATTAAAAATTTGAGAAGCCGTTAGTTTGTGCTTGTCGACTAAATTCGTTAACAACGAAAAAAAAACTATCCACAGCTACTTTATTAAAGCCCATGGCTCTTGCACCAGATGTTGCTTCAGGTTTGCGAATGGATAATGTAGGATGTCTTCTAAGGAATCCATTAACCCAATCTTGGCCTGCTATTTCATTTTGAAATCTATGATTAAATCCATTTCTTACAGCTAACTGATAAGCTAAGGTTCTTAAGTCTTTCATCGTTAGGGTCATTTCTCATATAACTTGTTCCGATGCTGTACCCACCTATTTTTGTGAAAACTAATTCTCGCTCAAGTTTTTTTTTCAGTGTAATGAGCTTGTAGCATTTCAAGGTAATGGGAACTTAAATTATGACAACCTTAACCTAATACTTTTTTTTTAAATGCAGGCTTTATGTGGCAAATGTCACGTAAGTTACCAGTCACCTACTGCAATATCCTAACATCGATGAATATTTCAACAAAATGGCTGTTAAAAAAATTAATGTTAGTGCTTAATTAACTAAAAAATAGGCTTAAGATTAACAAACAAATATTTTATTGCCTTTAGAGTACTAAAAGTCAATTTTATTTTGGGTTTTCATTTCACCCTCATGTATTGGTCACATATGTTACCCTGTAATTTAGGGAATATTGTTCCAACTTGGCAGCACTGAAGTGACAAATTGTTTGGGATTTGTCAACGCTCAAGTTTTATTGTCAGTGTCAGTGTCATTATAATATTTTTATGTCATCAAATAAAATAATAATAAAAATCCAAGAGCTACAAACAAGTAAGTATGTTTATTATAGGTCACTTAAGTTGTTGAATTTATTAGTTTATTGTTGTAATTTCAACGGCTTTTACTTAAGAGACATAATCTAACAATATTAGTCTTAAACTTAGGCCAAGTTAGCTTGTTTGCGTTTCTGTATATGGCAGCATTTTTAAATTTAAAGGCCGAATGTCACATAAGTTACCGTCACATACGTTACTGCTTCTGCTGGTAACTTAAGTGGCCATTTGGTAACTTATGCGACAAAAAGTAATTGTTTAGCTCATCTGACGTTTTGTGTTATAATTTTAAACAGGTAAAACATGGGTCCAACTTCAGCTGAGAAACAAAGAAGATATAGAGAGCGAATTAACGCAGATCCTGAAAAAAGAGAGGAATATTTGAGAAAAATGAGAGAAAGAGCGCATAATCGACGAATTACAAAAATTGATAAGCAAATTGGCGATTTATCAGAACGATCTAAAATAAAACAACGCAAGGAATGGAGGGACAGAAAACGAAGAAGCCGTGCAAATTCTATCAAAAGACCACGCAATCTAGAAGCCGTCTTAGATGAGACAGCACCTAGTCCTCTGCCTCAAGTTACAAATGCGGAACATCACAATACCATCCGAGGCAGACAAAAAGTTAGAAGAGACCGCAGTGCTTCGTATCGACGAGTAAAACAACTAGAAAAAGAACTGGTAGATGCTAAAAAAAAAATAAATAAATATAAACGTAGAGTTAGTCGCTTAAAGAAAACTAAAATTAATAATGAAATAGTACGATCAATCTCTCCATTAACCAAACTAAATATTGAAGTCAGAGATCAAGTCATTCCAGAGCCAATTAAAAGAAAATTATTGTTTCAAGATACAATACTAGCTCAAGTTCGAGAAACCTATAAGATGTCTCTAAATGAAAAAACTAAACAATCACTAGCATCTGTATGTAAAGGAAAGTATATAAGAAAATATCGCTTCGTTAAAAAGGCAAAAAATGAACTAGGAGCTTGGGCCAACGATAAGAAAAAGAAACTAGATCGAAGTCACGCCTACAAATTGTGCACAACAATAAAACATTTTTACTGTCGGGATGATAATAGCATCCAAACTCCAGGAAAGAAACAAACAATAACCTATCGCGGTATTAAGAAACAAAAACGTCTACTTTTATACAATTTAAGGGCACTGCATGACAAATTTTGCAAGGAATTTAACAGCACAGTCAGCCTTGCTACCTTTTGCAGACGAAGACCATTCTGGGTAGTGCGAGCCAAACTTACAGATCGAGATTCGTGTCTTTGCAAAAGACACGATAACTTACAAAAGATGTTAGCCACTTTAGTAAAAGAAAAAGTTACTACAGAGCGGAATCTGGAATTATTATGTGATGTTGTATGCTGCAATACCGAATCGTTGCTGTGTATGACTAACGGCTGTAAAACATGCCAAGACAAAAATGCCATTGATGCAAAAGAGGTTGCACATGATAAAGTCGTTCGGTGGTTTGCATGGAAAACTACCAAAGAAGAATTTGAAAAGAATGGAAAGAAAATCCAAGTAAGAAAAACAGTAAAAGCAGTAGCAGAAGGTAAACTTGGAGAGTTGATACAAACTTTTAACAAAGACATTAAGCAAGTGTTATGCCCACATGTTTTTAGAATACGACATCAGTTCCAGCAATCCAGAAAATGTAAAAATGAATTGTGTTATGAAGAAGCCGCAGTGCACATGGATTTTTCAGAAAACTACTCCTGCAAATTAAATTCTGAAATTCAAGCCATGCACTTCGGTGCTTCCCACAATCAAGTGACACTACATACTGTCGTAGTGTACTTTGAAACTAATGAAAAAAAAATGTTTTGCACAATATCTGGTTCTCGGAGACATGACCCATCGGCCATATGGGCGCACCTTACCCCCATACTATTGGAACTAAGAGATAGAAATATTGAAGTAATTCATTTTTTCAGCGATGGACCTTCCTCGCAATATAAAAATAAAGGTAACATTCTATTCTTCAAAACCTATTTCCATGAAATGGGATTTAAATATGGCACATGGAACTATTCCGAAGCTTCTCATGGAAAAGGTGCTCCTGATGGGTTGGGTGCCGCAATAAAGAGAATAAGTGATAACCTTGTTTCAAAAGGTCAAGATATAGACAATGCTAGAACATTGTTTGAGAAGGTGAAAGATAAAACTTCAATTACGACGTATTTTATTGAAGAAAGTAAAATTGAACAAATGGACCAAAGAAAGACTAATAATTGTGAGAGTAAGAAAATTCCAGGCATATTTAACACTCATCAGATAATTTCTTTGGAAAAAGAAAATTATGTATACACAAGAAAGTATTCATGTTTTTGCAAAAAGTTGCCGGTAATCGACCATGACTGTTTCAATTTGCAAAAAATACCCGCAATCAAAGAAAATAGCATAACGGTTTCACACAGCTGCAAGAATAATGACCTTCCATTGGACCAGTGGGTACTTGTTTCCTATGACAATAGTACTTTTTCAGGATTAATTACCGATACTGAAGACGAGAATTACGAAGTAAACGCTCTGAAGAAAATAGGGGAAAATAAGTACGTTTGGCCTAAAGTAATAGATAAAATATGGTATAACAAGAAGAATATTTTAGCTACTATTGCTGTCCCTCAACAAGCAACAAAAAGAATATTGGTACTAAAACCGGATGATTGGAAAGCTGCAAAAAGTACTCAAATGATTGTTTAATGTTTATTCTAAACTATATTTTAAGTTATAAGCAAACTGCTATGTATTTTTATACCCAAATTTTTTATGATTAGTTTAAAAAAATGTTAGTAGTTATCAGTATGTTGCAATGGGCATAAATACTGTTTTTTCTTTTTAAGCTTGAGTTACATTTAATACATTTACTAATTAGTTTACTTCACATAAGTTACCTTTATATCACTTTGCGTTACTAAATTCGTTTTTCATCAAATTCAGTTGTTTTTTTGCGTTATAACTAATCAACTAGGCATATTTTGGGAATTCGTATTGTAGATATTAGATAATACCTAGCGGTTTTAATATAAAAACTGCATATATTCCTTGCATAAGAAATTATATTCTTTTGTAACTTATGTGACAAGTCACATAAGTTACCGTTAATCTTTAATTAGAAAATACTTTAAAAAATCAAAATTATGTACTGCTGGTCGTAGCCTTAGATCTAATAGGACCCATACTTTGATATGACCACAAATTTAACTTATTTAATGAATATAGGATTTTTTGATATTCGATATTCGACATGCACAAGTTATCTGAGATATACCCTTAGACCGAACAACCTAGCTTCCATATTTTTTAAGTATTTAACAAGCTCAAGTTCCTGCTCTACTGTAAAAACCTTTTTAAATTTTCCAGCGGTTTTATCAATAATAAAGTCAGGGTTTTCCCTTTTTTTCTTAACGTATCTTTCCAGTGTAGATTGGGGAACATCAAAATGGTTCGAAGCATTCAAATAACCAAATTCACCAGAAATAACCGCCTCGACCGCATTATTCATTGCCTCAATAGACCATGATTGCCTATTTGTTTTTTTCTTGTATACCCGAACCATCTAAAATTGAAAAAATTAGGAGTTTAATAAAAACGACATCTTAGTTTAAAATTGCGGGGCAGAATGGGGTACCCCATTCCGCCCCACCCGTTCCGCCCCAGCGACACGATTTAGATTTGTGAAGTAAGGTTATAAGAGAAAGGCACGTAAACAATAGTTTAACTACGCCAAACTAAAGGCAATTGAACGTACTTGAATCATATACTAACTACAGTTGTAAAGTAAACAAACATGTATATCTTACCTTGGTTACAAAATCATCAGAAGTTGTAAAACACGAGCAAAAAATCACACAACGAAAACTTCACGCATTAACGCTAAAGAAAAATAGCTAAACATGGCTGACGTTTTAGAGCAGTGACAATTTGATCTATTTCCACTTATTGCCGCTTGCTGGCATCACCTCCTTGACATCGAAAAACGTCAAACTTCATTCCGCCCCGGTACCCCGTTGTGCCCCGGGTTCCCCTACATTACAAAATATAATGATAATTATAACAAGATTAGTGAGAGCAGTCAATTTATTGTATATTTTGTAACTAGATTTTTATTAACGCTATTTAAGTCACGAGTTTAATTATGCGGAGCAAGTACGTAATGAACCAGTGTCTAAATAATAAAGTAACCAAAGTTTTAATATTAAAATTTAAAATTTAAATCGGTTTTAATCTTACTTTCTATTACTTTTATATATAGTCGCCCCTTAAGGGGCAATTGTATACATTTAATTTTAACCTCACTTTTTTCCAATATTGACATAAACTCTAACTTTATTTCGTGCATTAAATTTTAATACACTAGTGCATAAAAATTTAATGCATGGCTTGTCATTTAAGGGGTAGGCAAAAATAATTGTATTTATCAGATAACTCGTGTAGCGAAGCAACTACGATTGTAATTTTAACGAAGATTTCATGTCCAAGGGAAGAATCGATGTACTTTGGCCAATTTTGTCGTCATAGCAACAGCACTTTTAGCCACTTGAGGCGGGATGTGTTGCCTTACGTGCGTCGTATGATATATTAATAATTAATTAATATAAACAAAATAAAGGCTGTTTTATTTACTTTATTTGTCAATTTTGCCACGCGTTTTATACCTACCAATAAACCATAACATCGTGACGTTACGCGACCGAAATAATTTATCGATCTTCAGACATTATTAAGTAAACATTGATGGAAAAAATCGTTTTTTTAAGTAAAGGGTTGTTTTAGTTGACTAATATTTATAATAGAAGTGTTTTTACCCTGATTTTTGACATAATGTTCCTACCTAAAAATCACAAAAAGTAGGTTTTTATAACATGTATTATAAATTCGATAATTATGCCTAGATACAAGATTAACTCAAGTTTCTAAAAGAATATTCCGTTAATTTCCTAATAGCATTTGAAATGAAAAACACGGATATTTAGAAGCAGTTTTGTAAAACAGTTTCGGAGAAATCCGAAAGTATAAAATTATAACAAATTTTGTTTCTGCTTTCTTCATCATATTTGTTTATTAAGGGGCGATTTTGTTTTTGTTATAACTCGTTATTCTTTTAATTTTCGTGAAAATTTACAAAAGCAAAGTTGTGAAGAATAAAATTACTTCACATGAAATTAAAAAAAAAACAAAATTTTAATCCAAAACAACAGTTTTTTGCTGTTTCCACAAAAATAGGAGGCATATTGAAATAAGAAACTTGTTGCTTAATTTGCAATAGCTTTGGTTAAAACAATTTATACCTGAGTGAATCAAGTGAATCTTATATTTAGGCATAATAATTGGCCATTTAACATGGGGTCTAGTTGAAATTCTTGGATACATTTTATGGAGAAAATTATGTATACTAAAATATATTTTTTTAAATACATAATCGAACTATGCAAACTTCTTTGAAATTTAGTTTTGTTGAATTATATGCAAAACTAAAAACATTTTATGAAACTTTTTCTCATTTTTGTTGACAAATCTCGTGACATGGGAAGTGAATCACTTCAAGTGATCAAGAAAAAGAATTTCTCCCGGCGGATATTAAAGCCACCTTTTAGTTATTGCCTCGTAAGTATAAGCAACAGTACAATCTTTGCTTGAGATGGTGTGATCTGAAATATTTTAGCGGCAAGTTCAGTAAAAAAGGGCTTTAAATTACCTCGAAGAAAAGTCTAAAAATGGAAATCATCAACACTTAAGTTAAATTATTTCTTGTGAAAGGCGATAATTATAAAAAAAGCAAATATAACAAGCTAGTTGCTTTTTTGACCAAAAAAGTAAAAAGTAAAAGTACCAGGGTACAAATCGACAAATTTTTTGCAGAAGCGCAAGATGAAACTTATCTCATGCAGAAGGTTAATTTTTTTATATTTTCGAACCTATGTAAATCATTTGTAATTATTATCATAATTAACATTGTAATTTTGTTAAACAATTTTGATGTTTATGATTAACTGTGTTTAAAGAATCCATGAAGGGAATAAAAGATAAAAGAACATTTCGATTTTGTAATTTCTCAATTGATCTTATTTTTTCTACAATATTGGAATAATAAGCTGCATCAATCTGAAGATAAGGTTTGATCGACTGCCGGTGCGAGTGTCTAGTTTTCTTTATTAGTTGTTGTTCTTCTATTCCTTGCTTGGCTAACTTGGAAATAGCCGAAGAACAATGAGAGTGTTTTGTTATTTTATTATTCTTAATTATTTTGATCCATTTGGAGGTTGGTGACAAACAGTTGGGTATTTTTAAACCAGCACAGCTTTTGTTCTGGTGAGGTGTAAGGAACAGTCTGTCATTACTAGGGATGGGATTTTAGTTATTTTACCTTTTTTCAACCGATGTAACTATTTGAAAACCAATAATGCCAAAATGTGTTTTAAAAGATTTTCTTTTATATGAACCTAACTTGTTTTCACCTTTTTTACCTTTTTTGGAGGTTTTTGCTTTAAACTACCTTTTTTATACTTTTGTTACCTATTTTTTTAACTTGTTTTCACCTTTTTTACCTTTTTTGGAAGTTTTTGCTTTAAACTACCTTTTTATACTTTTGCTACATATTTTTTAATTTGTCAGTTTATTTTCACCTATTTTTACTTATTTTATTTTTTTGTGTTTTTTTTTAAATTTTGCCCCAATATTTTATCCAGGGCGTGCAACTCAACGGTATAAAATTTTTTCTTATGGTCACAGACTGTATACAGCTACATAAACAAATACAGAACATACCCACAATAAACTATTTCTATGCAATAAACTGTGTTTCACTGAGTGACACTCACTACACAGAAGTTCTATGACAGAACATAAGCTCACTACAAAGAAGGTAATTTTAAAGAAAGTAACTGTTATAACAGTAACTTTCTTTAAAATGCTCATTACACTAAAAAAAACCTTGAGCGAGAATTAGTTTTCACAAAAATAAGTGGATACAGCATCGAAACAAGTTATATAAGAATTTACCAACTATCAATACAATCTGTCAATATTGTCATTATTTTCCACAGCCTCTAAATAGGTATTTATTTCTTTATCAATAGGGTGCAGCGAAATATACCCAACGCTTTTTTTATAAAAAAAATCAGCGCATATTTTTTTATGAAATATATTTATTAAAAGATGTAAAATTATCTACAAAAAATAACATTGCATTGCGTAATAGTTTTGCTGGGATTTGGGCAATTTCTTTATTAATATTTGCCTTTAAGTCTTCTTATGTCTTAGGGTGATTAGTATAGATTTTACTTTAAAGAAAAAATCGAATAAAATCAAAAAGACAAAAGCCCGTTTAATTTTGTTGACATCGAAAAAAAAAATCGATTGATTAAAAAAACAAATCACTTACAGTGGAACACAACAAAATATGAGGTAATAATGCGACATTGCAAATTTCTGCAAAACCTAGTGTGCTATGAAGTCCCAAATTGTACCCCAATATTAATGTTAAAACAAAGTAAATTTTGGTACTCTTATTTCCAGATTGAACCGTGATACCATTTGTTTCTAAAAACTTAAATTCTTCTATTAATATATTAAAAATTCGTTTGTTTCCAAAATCTTTTTTGACATTAGTGTGAAAAAGCAAGCCTAAAAATATGTTTTCTAATAATGATTGGTATTTCGGCGGCAAACAAAGTATACTAATATAGGCAGCTCCAAGTTTA